TGTTTATCAGCTGCCAGCATCTCAAGGATTAGATAATCAGATCACTGAGGTAGGGGATTTGGGTTTGTAGGGGGATGGCAATAAGCGCATGTTTCTAGACCCATGTAAGCATCCTGCGGGCTTAGAGGACCTTAGTGAGAGAGAAAGGAGGAAGAAAGGTAAAATGCTTCACAGAAAAGCAGCTGGCAGAGGGAAAGGAATAGACAACCATCTGTGGAGGCTCTGCCTTTTGTCCCTCCCTCTCTGTTTTCCCTGGGCAGGCAGGCCCTCTCTCACATCTCACAGTGGTCACATCCAGGCCAAAGACCTTCAGGGCTTTAGCCCTGGTCTTTCTCCTGAGCCCTAGCCCTCCTCGCCAGCTCCCTGCCGGACGATCCCATCTAGATGTTCCCACGCCCCCACCCCAGCCGCCTCAGTGTTCTCCATGCTGTCAAGGGCGCTGCTGTTCTCTGGATCTGCGGTCCCCAACCCCCAGGCTGCAGACTGGTACCAGTCCATGGCCTGTTAGGAACCGGGCTGCACAGCAAGAGGTGAGCGGCAGGTGAGCGGCAGGTGAGCCAGCGCAACTTTGTATTTGCAGCCGCTCCCGATCGCTGGCATCACCGCATCAGCTCCACCTCCTGTCACACCAGCGGCAGCATTAGATTCTCGTAGGAGCACAACCCTGCTGTACACTGCACATGCGAGGGATCTAGCTTCCTCATGAGAATCGAAGCCTTGATGGTCTGAGGTGGAGCTGAGGCGGTGACGCTAGCGCTGGGAGCGGCTGCAAAGACAGATTATCAGCAGCAGAGAGGTTTGCTTCTGATTTTAAAAGGAATACGTGCTTATGGGTATAAATTGGTAAAATAGGAAAATAAAAATATAAACATCACTTATCATACAATTTGGAGATAACTATTAAAATTTTAGTATCTTTATTCTAGTTTTTGTTTCCGTGTTTATGCATATTTTAAAAATATACACATAAAATTGGGATCCTACAGGATAGTATTAAAACCTATTTTCTTTTATTGTGGGCATTTACTTTCTTACTAAGTATTTTTCAAAACTTCATTTAATGGCTACTTATTCTGTCTTTTGACTGGAGCCTGATTTATTTAATCATTCCCTGTTGTTTCCAACTTTTCGTTATTCCGATGATACCCGTGCACAGAGAACGTGGTTGCTTGCTCAAAGTCTCACACGCGGGAAGTGACGGTGCAGGGTTTGACGACTGTGCCTCACCCGCCCCTGCCCTCACAGCATCTGAGGGGGTTGGGCAAAAAGAAAAGACTAGAAGGAAATGTTGGGGAGTAAGTCAGGAAGCCCCCCTCCATGTCTTCTTCTGTAGGCCCTCTTCCCTCTCCCCCACTGGTGGGGAGAGCCCTGGGGCCCTGCGTGTGACTGGTTCCTCCCCAGGCCCTGCATGGCGGCTCCTGGAGGCCTCTGTGCTGGGGGAGGCGCCTTCCCTGAAGGGGCCTGTGGAGTAGAGACCACACAAGGGGC